TTATTTCTAGATTTATGCTGATTTAAAATAAAATAAAAACTTAACTTGTCAGAAACTGATGTTACACAAATTTTCTCACTTTCATATTTTTTTTTTTTTTATCTTTGTTTTATCAAATATTATAAAAAGTACTGAGAATTTCGCTCAATTTTAATATTCCTTGAAGTACTATCTAGGTAAAATTTTTTACTTTAAATTACTGTTAATAATTTAATATTTTATCCATTTTTCTATTTCAGAAAATCTCTAGATAGAAAAAAAAAAACTACACATATTAGTGCAAGACCAATACTAATTATTCATCCAGCTCTAAATACAATAACTTTAATAATTTTCACTGTGCTTCAAAACTATTTGTATAGGACTTATTGTATTTGTTTGGTGTATTAAATACAAATTTACTTCACGATTGATAACAATATAATAACCATAAAATAAGAAATTTTTAGAGCTGAACATTATATTATTTTAAATGTTATTATTCGAGTTCAATACAATAATTAAGTTTCGTATAATAATCACATGATGCGTATATTTATATAATATATTGAATGTGAATTATTTGCTACGTAATTTTTTCACTTGTCAGCCACATAGGATAGTATAAGGTTGATTTGGGGCACAGAAAACGAATGCAAACCGTATTAAATCAAAACTTGTACGATACTGAGCGGGACCATTTAATCCTGACTAGGATTAAACCTGTGCACGACCTAAATGTCCTAAACTGTTCAGGTCCGTGTGTCACCCGCTCTAAAATAACATAAATCACTCTACACCTACACATTATACATTATTAAAATAAAATGATAAAATATTCCTTATAAAATGTTAGAAAATGAACCAATCTGGAGTACCTATAGATATTTTTAAAAAAAATTGAGTATTATATTTTTCTGAAATCACGTCACGTTTTTGGTCATACTGCCATGGAATTTAAAGCACAATATGTTTATAGTCCTTACATTTTGGCCATTGAACAAATAAAATATTCTAAAAAAATTTTAACACTAATTTATCTTGATTTTAATGTGTTTAATAATATATCTGAGCAAATACCTCGTAATTATTATGATATTCCTAAAATATTAAACTTGTCGAATACATTAATTAATCTATAAGTACTATAACCATAAAATAGCGTGTATGTTTTTAAAAACTAATATTAATGTCTATTATCTTCAGACTATGTATAAGTATTAACACATACAATATATGGACACGTCATACATAAATACTAATAATTTTAAATAAAATGATATGTATTATTTAATTAACCAAACAAACAACAATACAAAACTGTATAAAATAAATAGACATTATATAATAATACTTAAAATCAAAATTGAATGTTTTTAAAATAATTTTTAGTTATAAAAATAACAAATTTACAATATTACCAAATGTCTATTTTTATTATTTTTTTTTTTTTAAATAATATAATTATATTTTTTTTTACGCGTACCATAATATTGTTAATTATTTTCCTCCGCAAAAAAATAAAAACATAGTTAATTTATAATATTATTATAGAAATAAAAGAATTCATATATTATCGATCTATAATTATTGGTGGACTATTTTTTTGTCAAAAAAAAAGACAAAAAGACAAAATATGGTATTCAATTTTAATATGCAGTTTTAGATCAAACGTCAATATTGTTTTAGAAATGATTCTAGCGAAGATCCGTTTTATTGTGATAGGAAAACGAGTGGTTGCCCCTCAGATATATATATATATATATATTTTTACAGTCACTTTATTACGTAAAAAATATCATTGTTTCAAATTTATTTTGAATACATCAACTCTGAACTAATATAAACATTAATTAATTTTGTTAATTCATTTGACAAGATACCATCCATGGGGCGATAATATCACGTTAATCGTATTCTAGTAAACTGACGTTATATCGTAGTAATGTGTTATTTTTTAATACGTGCAAGTGATCAAAAACAAAAATACTCTTTTATTGGTATTTAAAGAGACATTTTGCATTTTAGTAATTTAAGTAACATTTAATTTGTTTAACAATATTGAAACGATACGATTGTTATTTAGAAATACTGAACTTTAAGTCACATTTTATCCAATGAGTTTATATAGGATGGTATTATAGACAACACTAAATGTTATACTTATGCAATATGAATATCGGAATATAGTTGAAATAAAAACCACAAATCGTATACATAGGTATTATAACGTTATTGAGATGAATGTATTTTATACGGTTCACAGCAATTCATTTATGCGACCTCATGGTTCATGACATAAGGATTCGAGGTCATACACACTTAAATAAAGGGTGTTTGAAAACGTGGTAAAACTGTTATTATATATTTTTTTGATGTAAATTCTTTACATGTATACCGCCTAAAAGTCAGTCGTAATAAATAATAGGGTCTCTTTAGAAACTTTCTGAAAGATAATATTGATGTAAGATAAGAAAGGACGTTAGCTTTCAATAATTTTCCATTTAAATTGATAAAAAAAATTCCAAATACATATTAAATTTTTAACAAAATAACTATTTTATGGTTTATTTTTCCAATGTGTTAAAAAAATTTGTAAACATTTGCGCACACAAACCGATAAAAATTGAACAATATAAGACCAAACGGAGTCGACATTTACTTTTTCAGAGTAAATAATTAATTTTCGCTTTTGTCAGACTGACATGACAAAAAGAAAAAAATAGAAAAATACCATTAATATTATTATTATAATAAACATGCGTTATTATTTCATGTGTATAGTATTATAGGCCCGGGACGAGTCCGCACTGAAGTAATATATTACTTTGGAACACGCAATAAAGTATCATAAAACAAAAACCAACGGTCGTTTTTAATTCTCGCACCGTTACGGATTTCGTCATAAATTCCGGTCGACTGAACTTTACGGTCGTATTCTCGTGTAAAACTAATACCGATACTCTTATAGGTTTTTTTTTCCTATAGCCACCCCATTCATCCAGGACGGATATTAAAAATCAACGGGTATGAAATGAGTATAAAATACACGAATAATAGCCGTACTTGGTCGACAGATTTCAACTAGGATACAAAATCAAACGTAAGCCGACGGTGACACAACTGACCGGATGTTTCGTTGTCTGCCTATCGATTGCTGCTACGCGTGGTCATTTTACGATTATTATATTACCATTGTTATTGTTTATTTATTTTATTTCGCAAAACCATTATACGTCCTCTGAATTTTTACTATAAAAAGTAATTAAAAACACAACTACAGAGAAGAACAATAGTTATTTGTTCAATAGTGAGTGTAATTTAAAACACGATGCGTGTATATAAATTAACTATTTTATATCTTAGACAATATTTTAAATGTATATAATTATATAGCATGCAAAATAATAAAGAATAGCCGTTTAAAAAAAAAAAAAAAAAAAAACAGATGATTTATTGTACTGTAACGAAAATCGAACGGGATCATAATTAATTTTTAAATCTATGTTATTTAGTACTTATTTGTTAATAATTAATATCCCATCACTATTATCATATTTGGATATTTTTATTCACTCTAATCAAAACATTTAAAAAAAAGTAAACAACAATAATAATAATAGTTATCATTACTATTATCCATTATTTAGAATTAATTTATACCATGGCTAATAACAAATATATATTACATAATTACACGTAATCATCACACAAACGAACACGTGAAAAAAAGATAAATTTCTAAAAATCTTTTTATCTTAATTTTACACATTTACAATCGAACAATGTATTTTTTATTATAAAAATAAAATTTCAGAAATAAAAACAATAGTATAACTCATTAAAATTAATTTTTAACGGTAATTTGAAACAATTTTTGTAAGATAGGTACCTACACACGAACACACGTGATACCTGTTTATATTAAATTAAAGCTAATTACAAACCAATATGATAATAAAATACAGATGCAAATAAACATTTAAAAAAATAAATTTTGTCTTTTTCTCTATACAAAAAATATATACTAGATTTTACATGGATGAAAAATATCAAGATACAGTGAAAAATCTCTCATCAAAATATTTTTGAGTTTAAGACTTTTATTCGGTTTTCTTATGACTACAATCAGTTGACAAGAAAGTCATTTTCAGTATTTATATTTGAATTTTCTTAAAATTTTAATGAACAAATAATAATATAAATCCTTCCAAAAACGTTCTATTTAACTTAGTTTAGACAATGAAAATAATTAGTATGTTATATAATTAACTATAAATATTAAATATTTATTATTTTAAATCACCGCCGTCGGTTCACAATCATTTTAAATTATAAATATTAATATATTATAACATTCAGTGAAAATTAATTACATTAAATTGGTAATCGATGATTAATAATATTCTCATATTTACGTTTCTCGTAATACCTATATGTCACGACTGTACATGTTTGCCTACATTCTGTAAATTAACGTAATACACAATTATTGCCTGCAGTATTGACGTTTACCTACAACTCATATAAACAATAGTTTTTATCAATCTCGCTGTTACAAACTATTAAAATATATATATATAAAAAAAAATACCATTTTATAAATATCGATTATTTTTGCAGTGTAGACGATAATAATTTCTAAAACACTTACCGCAGCCGTTTTGAAAAATATATCGTATTACACGACGTTATTCGTGACTTGATTTTCGAATTATCATGTATCGACCTACAATCGCTACTCTTGTTATTCGGTCAACTACAATTCAATGTGTATGAATAACGTCTATCACTTTTGAAAACACGCTTTTTGAACGAATATCACGCGATTTCATCAAGTATAAAAAGTATAATATCACGGTGAAGTATATGAGTACCCATAATGAATCGTCGATAAGACTATAGACACAATATCATATATAACCTTTTCAAACACCCATCGATGTCTGCTTGTGGATATCTACGCGTATGATTGACGACAGGTAAATAAATTATTTCATCGAGACCGATTTCCTACTTACCGTTTTGCGAACATACGGCGCCACGGAACGTCCCGATGGCCAGCAGTAATGCCAATCCAACACCAACCACGAACGGCCTCATCGTGCACGTGCGATCACGTCGACACGTTTGGTAAGCTGTTTTCACGCGTCGCGACGACCGCTGGGACCGTTTATGACCACTGGCATAGCGAACATTGACAGTGTACGTGATCTGAAATCAGAGGAAAATGGTATAATACCTACCGCGTGAAGTCGGATAAAATGTTAGGTATCTATAAAATCAATTCTCCCCCCCCCCACGAAAAAATAAATAAATAACCAATAATTGATCCTCGAAGGTTACACACGTTTGTATTATAATGGAAAAAAAATTATTTCAAGTTTTTAACGTTTTAATGACGTTAATACGTTCTACGGGCAATGCTTATTCTTGTCATTTTCTTTTTTCCTCGCATTTTTTTTTACATTTTTAAAAAAAAAGTTTCACCAAATGTTTACGGCTATTATTGTTACAATGGATATATTATGTCTTTTTTTGTGTACATTTAAAAGCCGTGTCGTTGTTAAGTGTTGTAATGGAACTTGATAATGCATTATATTTTTTTTCGACTACTGTTACACGACAACAAACCACGTGTCAAATATGACTGATACGTTGTACTTTACGTTTATTCAGTACTCGAAGTGCAAATTATCATCATAAAACGGTGTTAAATTATTAATATTCTCAAAGTGTTAACTGTATGTAGTCTATTGTATACTACGTGTTCGCAGTAGAATAAAAATAATCAAATATCAAAGCAAATTCTCAAAATTCTTTAATTAAAATCACACACAATCGATATAACATTGAAGCAATTATTTTTTACATTTGTTTTCAAGTGTTTTTTTGTACGTAGAAGACAATAAGAATGCACTTTTAACAGTACAAGATTATAGTTCTTTCCAGACGTTTTTAAACGAATTAAGTACTTTTTTTCCACAAAAACTTAAAAAATGGATAGAATATAAAATTGATATAAACCGGCGTTACCAGGCATATAATATTATCAATTTTATAATCTAGTACCTATATAAGCATCAAATTAATAAAATGTTTCATACAAATAGTTAGTGGGTATATAATTTCGAATTTACGGATGGAAGTGTTAACAACTACATAATTGAATTTAATCAAATTCAGTTCATATAATATAAGTCTGCAATGAATCTCCAGTAGTTAATAACATAGCATCCAAATGTCGGTTTTCATATTATATTGCGTACCTGCATTCCATATCATTATTATAATAGATGAATCTAAAGCATTCTATCCTACACGTTTCAAGTAATCGATAGCCAAAGCCAAAGGGTTATGAAATGCCAATGCATTTTATTTTATACTTTGTAATATTACACTATACTTAATATTGGCGTAAATAAAGTTACATGTTTTCACTATAATATATAGTCTATAACTGTTGCGGTTTTTCTCAGTGCATTCTATTATGTTTTGTGGGTGTTCTTTCAAATAGTAACATTTACGCACATAAGTTTCAATCTGTTGAATATTTATAACACTGAATTATAATAAGGCTTCAGTCAATGTCGATCATAATGCCACAAACAACAAACCAACGTTAATAGACTTAACGTGCATACACAAACAACACGCACTTTTGTATTATAATAATAATATGATACAAGGCTTTTCTACAATTATAGGGATTAATAAAATACTCTAGAAATTTGTACAACCATAAAATATTCAAAGATTTTTTTTTTTTATCTATTTAAAAACATCAAATAACGATTTAACTTAAAAATTAAATATTTCAATATATTTTCTATATAGTCCAAATGCGAAATAATATATCATATAATAATTATTTTGCCTTTTATTCCCAACCATAGTTTACGAGATTGGGTGCTTTAATCGAATAATTTACGTCGGTCCATGTTTCATCGTTCAATAGACACCAACAAGCTAAGTACTGCAAATATAACCAGCTACCGACACAAGGTGGTATATATCGACAGATATTGGCAGTATTTATTGACAGGTATCAACAAATATTGGCAGGTGTCAGTAAGTAATAACAGGCTACATGACTTGACAAAAATCAACAAATAACGAAAAAAATTATGGGAATGTCAGTTTATCCATGTCTCTCTTCATTTTTAAAATATTGTTTTTGAATCACTTCACTGAATACTTATTTCTTATGATCTATAGGTATGTTCATTTAAAAAAATATATAACACCTTTTATTAGAGTTAAGCAAAACATTCAAGCAGTTATGCACGTGCACGTACACTCAATACAAATTACTAATATTTTTATATTTAATTCAAGTGTAATCTGTAACTAATTTTTCTCGTTAAAAATGTTATTTCTTATCAATATTATCATAGAAAAAAAAACAATTTTAGTTTTTATTATTTTAAATTAAGTTGTGTTAACTGTATAATATTTTAAACTATAGCGTGATGCCATAAGACATTAGTTAATTGTGAAAATAGTAGATACAAATCATTAATGAATATCTATTAATCATAATATTTCTAACTGCAAAGTTGATATTATACCGTAGTAGTTTTAATTTTGTAATGAAAATGTATTCAAAATGATGAGGAATAATGTACATATTTTATAAAATTAAATATTTTAATCAACTGTTTAAGTGAAATATAACTAGTTATTGCATAAAGCTATTGATACAATTTTCATAAAATTATTGGATTTAGTAAAATTATTCAATAATACCTTTAAGGTGTCCATCTGCTTCATTTAATTGTATAATTGTTTTTATGTAATTTACCCGGTAATTAAAATTGAACATTAATTGGTTTATCGTATGGAACATTTAACCGATTTCGACTGTACATCAATGTATTAAATCATATATAAACTCTTAGCAAATAAATCACTCGAAACCATTATCAATAACATTTAACTGTGAAAAAATAAAACAAAAGTGTAATATTTTGTGACTTTGTGTCAGTGGCGTTGATTGATACGACTCCATTAATGACGTTGCCCGATAACCGATGCCAATCAAACATATAACCATTTACATCTAATCCCGACGATGTAAACATTCCGGATTGCCATACAAACGGTTCACGTGACTAAAATATAATATCAGAAAAATGAAACACGTTATATTTTATTACGTTTGAAATGAAAAACGAAACGTTCCTTTTTCGCTTGTGGTTGGCTCAAATGACTCCTTAAACCGATCAACATGACGATAAGATCATTAACATACGAACACCGCATTCGTGACAATCGTTTAAATTGCTTTTGATAAAAAAAAAAAAAATAAAAAAACAACAAATAGTTTGAAATATTCTTTATCGTGCCAAAAGATGCTTTTTCAGAGACTCATAATCAACGGCTCATATTTAAATTTATTATTATTGTTGTTGTTGTTATGACGGGGCAATAGTAGAAATTGAATTAATCATTAAAATATTATAGTAGATTTTTTAAATACATTTCTGAAATCGACAAATACATATTATTATTATAATGCGTTGAATAAATTATTATACTTATTTTTTTGTGTTTTGTATATAATACTCTTATTTAATTCCCACTACATTATTCCATGCACCATTTTGTATTCTTAAGTTTTATCGTATTTTCGTGATACCTTTGTTATCAAGTATCGTCAGGTTCAAATAATACGTATTATATACCAACGAAAAAAAAAAAACATTTTTACCTTGTAAGTTTTTCATCGAGATTACAAAACAACGAAAATTTTTAGTGTGAAAAATCGAGAGCGACGTTTTACAATAAAAAGTGAGAGTCATTTCAAAGAGGTAGATTGAAAAGTTTTATTTTGTTTTACGTGAATGATGATGTTAAAATGGTCCTTGAGAGTTAAGATTCTGAATATTCTCAGACATCGTTGAGAAACTCAGCATACCTAGGACTTTAGGTCACTAATAATGTACGGGTTGAATTTAATAAATGTGATTATTATGATGTCTATTTATCTATATTATAATATTATTAAGAAGAAACCTGCAAATTTTATCTTTGTTTTACGCTGTTATTTTTAAAATAGATTTAATTGACTTCTAGTACAATTTAATCATATATTGCTTCTTAGAAATTTTAATTAAAATCTAAACTATGGAGCAAATTATAAGAATTTTAAAATTTACAAAAATAAATATTTTTAAGAACTATAATTTAATTTAAAATAATGTTAATAAAAATATTTTAATTTATAAATAAAATATAGTTAGATATAAAATTCAGTTGAAATTATTATATATGTAAAATACTGATATTAAACTATTTTCTTAAAATGTTGATTTTGATTAAAATAAAATAAATACATCACGTTTATATTTTTCGAAACAATTAAAAAAAAAAAAAAAATTATGTTTTTTTAATAATAATTAAAATATTTAATTTTAGCGGTGATGTTTTATTGAGTATTTAATTTAAAGCTAGACAAGACGAATATCCTAACCATAGCTTATTGAATAATTAATACGGACCTTGTATGGTATACTGTATTAAAGAAATAATTGTAAATCATTGGTCGTAAAACATTAATGGTCAATTGCTCTATGAAAAAAAAATGAGATACTGGAATTGGAGGGGTTTCAATGATACGTGTTTTTAAGTTGAAAATCAATGTTACACTTTAACAGATGAACAAATACTGCAATACAAATTGGTTTTTGTATTGATTATACTATTCTTTATATTATCTATAGTTGTTTAAAATTTTTCTTAAAAAAATACGATCAATTTGAAACACGTATTAAATATTTAGTTTAAAGAAGTGCTACAAAAAAAAAAAAAAAAACAGTTTTTACAACCTATATCACTACAATTTATTCCGTAAAAAGCATATTTAAATTTAAACACAACATTCCTTTAAATCAATAACGAATCAAAAATAATATTTATGTTGAATTTGCTTGAATCAGACGTGACGAGCAAATTTGTGATACGTAAAATTCAAATGTTCTTTAAAATTAATATAAATATTAACAGTTGTTCGCTTATAAAAAGAATTGTTGCGTCGTTACGATAAACTAAAATAAGTTGCATGTAATTATTCTTCTACTATGTAGAAAATAAATGGTATCACGTGAAATCGATTTTATTATTAATAGGTTTGAATAAATAGTAATATTTATTTTTAAAATATAAATATCATAATATCGAAATGGTTAAAATTATGCAGTTGCGTATTCAAA